GGGAGCGGCGGTGGCAACAGCGGCAGGCTGCGAGGGTGCTGCGGTAGAAGAGGTCGCAGCAACCGCGGGAGTAGGAAGAAGGTAGGAAGGAGTTGTATAGGGTGCAGGGCGCGGAAAGCGAGCCTGCATGGGAGGAAGGGTAAAGGAGGTAGGGGGTGCGCCCGAAGGCGCGGCCACCTGTGAGGGTGGGGGTGGCTGAAGGCGTAAGAGGGCGAGGTTGGCCCGGAGCTGGGCAATCTCGTCCTCGAAACCTCGAACATAGGTCGTGCGAGGGGTAGCAGGGGGAAGAGTGGAGGAAGTGGATGCACAAGCGGCGTGGGGCATCCCAGAGGGGGGAGAGCCAGGTGGTGCTGCGGTCGTGCGAAGGGGGGGGAGGAGCGGGGCACCCGAAAACGCTGAGACCATGGTAACGGGTTGTGGTCCCGTGGCCGTCGTAACCAGAATCTGGGCCGGTGCGCCCGTAGACTGAGGAAGGGCCTGACTCGTGGCGGTCGTCGAGCTAGGGGCGTGGACGGTCACCAAAATGGCCGGGTCGGGGGCGGCAGAGGAGGAAACTTCGTCGTGGCCACCCTGTCGGAGAACTGGGGACCCGGACTGAGAGCCAGGAGAAGAGAGAGGATGAGGAGAGGAAGGACGACCAGCGTCCTGGAGTTGCTGCACGCCGGCGGCAAGGGTCGCCACGTGCGCCTGTAAGGGCCCGAGGGTCGCGAGTTGCGCCTGGATGGGCCCGAGGGTCGCGAGTTGCGCCTGGATGGGCGCGAGGGTCGCGAGTTGCGCCTGGATGGGCGCAAGGAGGGAGGTGAGGAGGGTGTGTAGATCCCCCTGGGGCTGATGGCCCTGGTCCGCCGGCACGGGTGTGGAGCCCGATGCCGTGGTCATCGTCGTGTCGACGGCGTGTGATGCACCGTCGGCCATGGGGAGATGACGGACCGGACTGGAGGGGGTCAGAAGAGGTCTGCGTGAGCGGAGGGCGTAGGGGGAAGTCCGCCGTAGAAAGCGGCGAACGGCGCTAGCAAGGCTAGCACGGGCGTCGTCAAAGGGGGAGGGGTGGTTGGGGTCCAGGGTGCCCGAAGAGGACGGGGAAGTAGGGGGGTTTTGAGGAACCCTTAACCCTACAAAAACCTGAAGAAAACCCTAACGGAGGTTTAAGGCTAGGGTAGGGTACCGGTGACCTAATCAAGAAAGTAAAATAGCAAGCATAAGGGGGAGGGGGAGACGGGAGAAAAATAAATAAACAGCAAGATTTCGAGAGGAAAT